GCCGTTGGCCCACGGACCACCCCCGCCCCGGACATAGGCATAGCGGCCCAGCGACACCTCTGGGAGCAGCAGGTACTGTGGGCAGGAAGGAGGGAGCTGTGAGTGCCGCTGGCTCCTGGCCACACATGCCCTGCCCTGCCAGCCTCACCTGGTCCACGGCATAGAAGATGGCCTGGTAGAGCTGCTCCCGCGTGTAGGCTGCTAAGGTGTCATCCGCCCCATCTGAGTAGCCCAGCAGGAAGAGGTGGCGGAAGGCAATGGTGTTCTCTTCCCGGAAGGTCACTGCCAGCTGGTTGCTGAGCCCGAACAGGATCAGCTGGAGAAAGGGCCGGGGAGGCTGGCTTTGCCAGGGCAGGGCCTTGCTCGGGCACAAGTGGAAGAGGAGGAGGGAGCCCCGGGGGTGCCCCTGGGTGGGGTGGGACTCGTGTCTGCCTGTTCGATGCGCACAGACCCCAACCCCAGCATAATGTTGGAGCACATCCACCATGGTGACCCCAAGCCCTGCTCCAGGGGCAGCTATTGCCTCACAATCACAGTGAATGTGCGTGACCCCAACCTCCAGGGTAAGAACCGTTACCGGGCAGCTGATGCAGGAGAAGTTAAGAGGGGCAGAAGCCTCAAGTCCCAGCCTCAGTCCAGAGCAAGAATACGGCACAGAGACTGACTGGACAGCCCTGGGTCCCGAGAACCCAGAGCCCGGTCCCAGGCCTGGCAGGGCCGAGGGCAGAGCATCTGGTTTAGCCACGAGGGCAGCTCTCTTTGAGAATCTATGTGATGCCAGACTGCAGAGGTTCAAATCCCATCTCCCTGGGCTTGGCTGCTAGGTGAACCTGTACTAGTCCTTTCTTTGCTCGTCTGTTTGTTGTTTTTAAGAGTTCTAGGAATCGAATTCAGGACCTCATACTTGCCAGGCAGGCACCTGTGCCGCTGAGCTATCTCCCTAGCCCCCTAGGTTGCTGTGTGACTCTGTACAAATCCCTTAATATCTCAGCGGCCGCCAGAAGGGCAACGGCACTGCCAGGACCTCAGGGCACCCCTGTGAGCTCAAAATGAGCTGCTGCACACGCACACTCAAAAGGAGCGGCTTCCTCACTGGAGCCGGTCATAGTTCTGGCCTTGTGTGGCTGCAAGGGGTCAGGATAAGGCCCTTGAGGGCCACCCTCTCCTTCTGAGAGCTCCTGGATGGACCACCTGCTGGCAGGTCTCACCTGCACGGTGACTACTAGGATCTTCACCACCTGCAGCATTAACTTGCATGGCTTGCGGCCCTTGGCCCGGAACTTGTCACAGGGACTCATGAAAAAGTACTTGAGCCGGCGGCGGAGGTCTTCCTCTTCCAGGGGTGTCGGAGGGGCTGGGGAAGCCCCAGCCTGGGTGCCATATCCAAGGCTGGGGGTCAGGAGCCGCTCCGTCTCTGGGAACAGAAGAGGCAGTGAGAACCAGGTCTGGGTGGCTCCCATCTCTGGCTTCCCCAACAGGTCCCCCAGGTTCCCACATGTCCTCAACTCCATGCTCTAGCATTTTGGGGATTCTGAGGAAAAAAAAAAGAAAACCAACAACATTTCATGGCTCTATGCAGGGCTTCTCAGAAGTTTTGAGTGAGACCTGGGGCCGATTCTCAAACCTGCTACTCAGCTTCTCAGAAAAGATACTCGGCCTCTCTGAGCCTCAGTTTCCCTGTCAGCAAAGTGGAATGGTAATCATCTCTCACAGGGGAGCGGAGGGCCTGATGCCTAGAAAGGGTTTGTTACAGTGGCAGACACTTGCTGACTATCAGAACATTCTACCAACGTTCCTGTCACAGCTTTGTGCCTAAAGAATATTCTAGGCCCCCGGAGAAAATCCCAATCCCAGCCTCCAGGCACGAGTGCACAACAGAGCTCATAGTCATTTTCTCTAGACAAGTAATACCTGAAGGATGACCTCTGAGTTCATGACAACCCAACCCCACCCAGGGGACAGGTGGCTCATAAACCACACCTGGAGAAGGGTGCCCAACAAGAAGTACCTGCAAAGCTGATGCAGGACAACTATAAGTTTAAGGCTGGCCCACACCAGTTAGCAAGACCTTGTCTCAAAAATAAGTGGCACAGTGCTTGCTTCCCATCCCAACTCTGATCCAATCCTCTCCTACATAAGAGTGAAACATACCTGTGGACCAACTTACTTCATCCTCACTGAGGGCACCAAGTGCTGGCAACCACACAGCTTCTAAAGTCAAATTCTAGACCCAGGATACCTCCCTAAAGCCTTCGTGTAAAAAGCAGAAATGGAAAACATCCGTCTTGCCAAGTGGTGGCACGTGCTTGTAATTCCAGCTCTCAGGAGGCTGAGGCAGAAGGCTCATGAGTTTAAGGCCAGCCTGGCCTGCCGAGCAAGTTCAAGGTCAACCTGAGCCCCACAGTGAAATTCTGCCATGAACACTTTCTAACAAAAGAAGAACAAAAGTCTGTTGCTAAAGAGGAGATCCTACAGCTGCTCTGAGGATTTGGCAAGACAGTGCAGGAAAGACCTTACAGCATCTTCAGGAAGAAGCTATGTCAATCACTGCTTCTTTCCTTTGAGCCTAAGAGAACCCTCAAGATTTCAGCAACTGCTGGGGTCACAGCCATCCACGCTAGCCCCAAACTACACCTAACACACTCGACTCCCTCCACAGGGAGAACTTTGATTTTTTTTCTAGGTCCTGCCGCCTGCCTGGCCAAGCTGTCAAGATATTTTTTCTTGGGCGGTGCTGGGGATCAGATACAGGACCTTGAACATGCTACACAAGCGCTCTACCACGGAGCCACCAGTGCAGAGCTGTCAGGATGCATACGGACAGTCACCACTTCTGCCAGCGCCAGATCCAAGCTCCTGGTTCCTCCCTTTGGAGCCTGGCTAGTCTTGTTGTTTACAATCCAGCAGAAGGGAAGCCAGGAGGCGGGCCCTGCGTTGCGCCCTCCCTGCCCCCTAGCTTGGATCACTGCGAACCCACCCCAGAGCCTTCGACCTGGGACACCCAGCAGCCAGCCCACTATCTGCAATTGATCTCTTCATCCAGGTTCCCGAAAGACCTCTGCCGGGCGCGGAGGTTTGGGCAGCCACAACTTGAGCTCAAAAAGGCTGAGACTGCACGGGCTTGGGAGCTCGGGTTGAGTCAGTCGCTGGATTTGAAGAGTCATCCCTCCAGCTTTCCGCCTGAGTTCGGGGAAGCCGAGAGCACCATCTCCCGCATTCCGGGACCTCACACGCCAGCGCGGGGCTTACGCCGCGGTCTGAGCGCCAGCCGGGGGCGCTCTCGGCGCCAACGCTCCTGTGGGAAGCTCGCCGCCCGCCGCCCGCCGCCCGCCGCCTGCCTTCGGGAGCTCCGATCCGAGCCCGCGTGCGGGAGCGAGGCAGTCCCGCCGCCCGAGGTGCAGAGCCTGCCCGCCCGCCCCCGCCCGCCCTCACCTGAGCCACGGCCGCCCACGGGGGCCGCCATGCCCGGGCGGGGAGCGCGGGAGGCGGCGGGCGCGGCGGGGCAGCCAGGGTCCGGACCTGACGCCCGCCGCTGTCACTACGGCCTCACACCCTCGCCGCGCCGCTTCAAACCCTTCGGCATCAGCTGACCCGCACCGCGGTCACGTGACCAGGGCGCCCTTGGGCCCACGTGATTCCGCCAACCCCACCCACTGCGCGGAGCCGGGCCCAGCCCAGAACAGTGCGCATGTGTGCCGCAGATGTAGCCTCGCGGAGCGGGGCGGGGTGGGCCGGAAGCAGTCGCGCGGTCCTAGCGCCGAAGGGAGAGGCTTGTTCCACCGAGGCTCGGTTGTGACCTGCGCCTGGTGCCAGTCTCCTGAGTCCAGTGTCCACAGCTTGACCCTTCACCCTCCTTGGTGCTGTGTGATGATTCCAGACCTATCTTCTTCCAGAAGTCCCTTCTGCCCAGCTCATCAGCAAACCCCATTTCCTGAACCACTCACCCCCACCCCTGTAGCCCCAACCCAGAGCCCCCAACATGCCTGGCTTACACCCGCGCAGCCTAGCCCCTTCTTGCTGCTACTCCCCCCCACCACGCCCTCCGTCCCCAACTCCGCTCTCCATGCAGCTGGCAGAAGCGCCTTCAAAGACATTTCCTTACAGTCCTCGGCCAGACACTGCTGGGGTCTCCTCCCCTGCTGCAGGGGTCTACAGCTCATCCATGGGGCTACCCCAGGGCCTTTTCACGCACTTTTGCGTAAGCTAAGACCTTGGGCTCTGCGGGCAGGCAGTTCCCATCCAGGTCCTACATCTGCCAGTTCTACATTTTCCCAAGTCCCTTAGACTCCCATGTGGCTGTTTCCTCCTTTGCCAAATGTGGACACTCCAGAGTGTCACCAGCCTCGCAGGTGTAGGCAGAGTTAACTCAATGGAAGGGCATCACACTAAGCTAGGCCAACATTGCTGATTACCCGATTAGTGGTACTGGGATGATAATTCTTCTGAGGAAAGATGTCCTTCCCTCTAAACTAGAAATCTTATGCTTCTTCTAGAATGTTCCTCCACTGTAATTATTTTTGATACTCTTAAATATGATGGATGAGCTCTGTTAAAGAGCAAGGCCACATTCATCTTGCTCCCCGCCAAGACCTAAGAATTAGCAGGCATTTGTGAAGCACATAAATGTACAGCATGCATCTACCCAGCGGTGTAGCTGTGAACTTCCAAAGTCAAGGGCCGACTCTCGGGGCTGAGGGGCTAGGGCTGCTCTCCTCTCAGCCTCCATTATCAGACCACCAGCCATCAACATGCTAGAAACGCCAGGGGGAGTGGAAAAGCTAAAGGGAGGACATTTTGCCCTGTCCCCTGCTGGGGGAGCCTTTTCCTGCCTCAGCAAGCCAGACCTGGAGGAGCTCCCGGAAGGGTAGGGCTGGGGACCTGGAGGGTCAGGCTCCAGGTGCACAGCTGGCCCTGACCACACCTTCCCACCTCTGGTGGACCCAACAGTCCACAGAGAACACGGAAGGCAAGTCACAACATGGAGGCAGAACGTAGTGGGAGAGTTTTAATAAGTGCACAACACACAATTTCCCCAGGCCCCCCGCAGATGCCCCATGGTGTCCCCTTCAGCCATCAGGCCCCAGCAGTGCCCCTTGCTCCTCGACCCACGCGGGACTCTCACCAGCAGGGAGGGCTGGGCTGACAGTGGCGTGGGTGGGAGAGCAGGGGTCTGACTGGGTCTCGTTGAGATCTGGGCTGGGCACTGGGTCAGGGCCGGGATCAGACTCCTGGTCAGGGCTGGGCACAAGGTCAGGGTCAGCACTGTGATCAGGCTTAGGGTGACAGGATTCATCCGAATCAGGACTGAGGGTGGATCCGGAACCAGTGAGGAGTTTGGGGTTGGGATCGGAAGGGGAGCCAGGATCAGGGTCGCAGCCGGAACTGGGGCCAGGGCTGAGGCCCAGGCCAGAGCCCAGCACAGAGACGGCATCTGGACCCAGGAAAGAGACCTTCCGGGGCCTCACCATGGGTGCAGAGCTCAGGCCAGCCCCGAGGCTCAAACTCGCGGCAGCAGCGGCAGCAGCGGCGGCGGCGGCAGCGGCGGCGGCGGCGGCAGCTGCGCCCTCGTGCACCCGCTTGTGCTTGGTGAGGCTGGAGGCCTGGCCAAATGCCTTACCGCACAGCTGGCAGCGGTAGGGGCGCTCCCCGGAATGCACGTGGAGGTGCTGCAGCAGCGCCGAGCTCTGCCCGAAGGCCTTGGAGCAGTGCGGGCAAGCATAGGGCCGCTCGCCGGTGTGGATTCGCAGGTGGTGCTGCAAGTTGGAGCTCTGCCCAAACGCCTTGCCGCAGTGCGGACAGCGGTAGGGGCGCTCCGCCGTGTGCGTGCGCTGGTGCTGCAGCAGCGCTGAGCTCTGCCCGAAGGCCTTGCCGCACTGCGGGCACGGGTAGGGCCGCTCGCCCGTGTGCGTGCGCAGATGCTTGAGCAGCGCTGAGCCCTGGCCGAAGCCTTTGGCGCACACAGGGCATTTGTGAGGCCGCGGGCCGCCGTGCGTGCGCAGGTGCTGCGCCAGCAGCGAACCGTGGCCGAAGGCCTTGCCGCACACGGGGCAGTGGTGTGGCTTCTCCCCGCTGTGGCTGCTGCGGTGCTTGAGTAGCGTGGAGCGCCAGCCAAAGGCCTTGCCACAGGCTGCGCATTGGTAAGGTCGCGCGCCCGTGTGGATGCCGCGGTGCTGCGCCAGCGTGGCGCCGTGGCTGAAGGACTTGCCGCAGTCGGGGCAGCGGTAGGGCTTCTCGCCGCTGTGGGTGCGGCGGTGCTGGCTCAGCCCTGAGCTGCGGCGGAAGGCGCGGCCACAATCAGGGCAGGAGAAGGGCCGGGGCGGGCTGGCTGGGGCAGGGAGCACCGCGGGGCTGGTGGCCAGGATCTCAGGAGTGGCAGTGACGCTGGAGGAGAGGGGGTCCACATCTGCCGTGGCAGGGCTGAGGGCTTCGCTGTCGGGGTCGAGGACCAGGGGTACAGGGCCAATGACATCTGGATCGAGATCGAAACTTGATGACATGGGGTCCAGATCTTGGGGGTCGGAGTCTGGGTTCCCCAAGATGGAGCCTGGCGCTTGGGTGCTGGGGTCCAGATCCTCAGAGATGGGCTCCAGATTCTCAGAGCCAGGGTCCATATCTTCAGAGACAGCATTGAGGTCTTCTCGATCTGGGTCTGCATCTTCAGAAACTGGGTCCAGATCTTCAGGCTTCAGGTCCCGGTCTTCGGAGTCAGAGTCAAGCTCTCCATAGAAGGGCCTCATGCCCTTGTGGCCCGGGTTCCTGACTAGGACTGACCGCCGCATGCCGGGTGTGGAAGTACAGGTCGTTTCTGAGACAGGACCTGTGGGTGAGGAGGGGGTTGAGTGGAGGGACCTTCGGGGGAGTGTGCTTAGGAGGACAGGCTACTGGCTCTTTCCCTCGTCTTTCACCACGGGAAGCTTATTTTTTCTTCTCTGGCATCAGCCAGGAAGTTCCGTCCAGGGTACCCTGGCAGGACATGCAGGACCCTCTCCACTCAGCCCCTGAGTAGGATGGAAGTCCTAGGACGGAAGTCACAGGACCCTGAGCCAGAGGTCTCAGGTGCCCAGTTCCTCCGCTCTGCCCCTGCCCATCCTGGGCGCCTGTGCTGGGCAGACTGGGTCCTGTGGAAGACAGACCTATGTTCCCGTGTGGGGAAGAGGGTGGCTGTCAGGCCCCATGGCCTGCATTCCCACTGCAGAGCTGGGGGTGGCAGATAGGGCTCAGGGTGGTGAGGGTGGGGGTTGGGAGGGAGATCTCTAGCTATCTTCCTCCCCAGGCAGTGTACAGAGCACTAACTCTGCCTGGGGAAAAACGGGAGGCAAAGGCTACATGGCTCCCCTCCTAGGTCCCTGGCTGGCCTCTTGGCCTCCTGCTAGAGGACGACCTGAACTCCAGACCTCATTGCTCCCCCGGCATAGTCTCTCAGGGGCAGCAGACTGTAGGTGGGCAACCCTCCTGCTTCGAGAAGGAGGCAGGGAGTTCATGGTTGTGGGGAAGGCAGGGATAGGTTTCAGCAGACATCTCTCCAACTGCCTAAAAGACAGTGCATTGTAATCCCCAATAGGGACCCTCTTGTGGGTTCTTAAGGAACCTGGAGAATCTATCCACGGAGGAGAGATTCCCAAGCCACTGAGCCCTGGCCAGGGTGTGGGTTCTAGTCAAGCAGTATTCTCTCCAAGCTGTGCTGCCTCACTGCTGGGGTAGGTGGGCTCTTGGGTGGCAGGGAGCTCAAAGCTACCTGCTGGGGAGATGCCTAGCTGGGGTGGGGAGAGGGAGACCTCCGGCTTTCCTTCTGGAGAAGGGACACACTGAGGCACAGCCCTCTAGGGGAAAGTGGTAAACCGGGGAGGTGGAGAAGGGTTGAGTTCTTGGATGGCCCAGGAGACCCAGGCCCAACCGTTGAAGGATGGAAGCCGATCCTAAGGGGCGGTGGAGGACCCCTTAGATCACCCCGAGGAGGGGAAGCAGGGGCTCCCCATTTCCTGGCTGGTGAGGGAGAGAAGAATGCACTGGACCCTTCCGAGTTTCTGAGAAAGAGGCTTCCAGAATTCAGACCTACAGACTTTGGAGGGTGGTTAACAATGGCCGGGGCCTTTCTGGGGTACTGGGAGGTCGGGAGACCCCTGATCCCCCATCTTGAGGTGAGATCCCGAGCTCCCCCTCCACCCCAGGTTGGAGATTGGAAGAACAATACCGAGGGCCCCTCTTGATCTCCACAAGTGGATGGGTGCTGGGGAGGGGGCTTCCCGAGTTCCAGACCCCGAGCCGACGGGCGCCCCCACCCCTCGCCATCGCAGGCACGCAGCTCTGGACCCGGCCGCAGAGGCAGCAGGGGCGCGCTACGCCGCCGGGTTCGCCCCCTATCACCGCGCGCGCCCCGATCCGCCAGCCCGGGCCAGGGGCGCGCGGGGCTGGGGGCGCAAAGAGGTCTCCCAGGGCCGCGCCCTGCACCAGGGCCCCCAGGCTGCCCCCCGCCCGATACCCTCGGCCCCGCCCGGGCCTCCCGCTCGCG